GCCCGTGGGTCAATTCTCTACCGACTGACACCAAACCACATACCTCCGATCTTCACTTGGGAGCCCGTGGGTCAATTATCTACCGACTGACACCGAACCACATACCTCCGATCTTCATTTGGGAGCCCGTGGGGCAATTCTCTAGGCCGACTGACACCAAACCACCTACCTCCGATCTTCACTTGAGAGACCGTGGGTCAATTATATACCGACTGACACCAAACCACATACCTGCGATCTTCACTTGAGAGCCCGTGGGTCAATTCTCTACCGACTGACACCAAACCACATACCTCCGATCTTCACTTGGGAGCCCGTGGGTCAATTATCTACCGACTGACACCGAACCACATACCTCCGATTTTCATTTGGGAGCCCGTGGGGCAATTCTCTAGGCCGACTGACACCAAACCACCTACCTCCGATCTTCACTTGAGAGACCGTGGGTCAATTATATACCGACTGACACCAAACCACCTACCTCCGATCTTCACTTGAGAGCCCGTGGGTCAATTCTCTAGGCCGACTGACACCAAACCACATTCCTCCGATCTTCACTTGAGAGCCCGTGGGTCAATTCTCTACCGACTGACACCAAACCACATACCTTAGACCTTCACTCCAGAGGATGTGGGTCAATTCTCTACCGACTAACACCAAACCACCTACCTCCGATCTTCACTTGAGAGACCGTGGGTCAATTATCTACCGACTGACACCAAACCACCTACCTCCGATCTTCACTTGAGAGCCCGTGGGTCAATTCTCTACCGACTGACACCAAACCACATACCTTAGACCTTCACTCCAGAGGATGTGGGTCAATTCTCTACCAATTGAGATATGACGCCGCGACGAAGCATCAAAAAGTACAACACACGGTTAATTTTATGACAATAGTAAATTACTAGAAATTATATATAAATACAGATACAAAATTAAAGAACATAGATTTCTAATGTAACTGATAAACAACGACAATATAAGTATAATGTTGGGTGTTCCATTATTATTATGATATTTCAGTGTGATCACACTTTAAAGACTAAAAGTGCTCCAATTACTTATAAAGAAATGTTTCATACTACCAGTACTGCTGCGATAGCGGCATTCTATTTATTGGTTGCCAAGGTTGAATTCCTATGATCAATAAATACATTCTGATGGTCGTGAAAAAGTAACATTTGAACACCGAAATTTCAATTTCAAAGGGCAAACGTTGTTTCATACAGTAACCTGCGCCTGGAAAAAGAAAAACGTAAAACAATGACACAAGTTGCTTTTCTTTAATTCCACAATCTGCCCAAGAATGATACTTGGGAACATTTTCATGTGGTGCAATTTAATTTTATCATCAAATTATTATCTGAACACGTGACGAACACAGATTAGTCTTCTGGTACCATGTGGTCCATCACAGGGAACTGTGCGCAGTCACAAACAAACTTCTCAAGATCCATGTTTCTTGAGCAAGAACAATCTGGACCTGCTATTCCACAAGCAGTATTACACACATACTGATCATCATAACAACCAACGACACTGCATTCCGGCTCCGGGTGTTGTCCCCCAAAGCTTATAAAACAATTACACAGATCTGAAAGAAAAATATGAAAATACTTACACACACTGGCGTAGGCAAGGGGTAGGCAAGGGGGGCAACGGGGCGGGGTGGGGGTCCCATTTTTCAGTTTTCTGCATCTGTATTTTTCATATCTATATTTCAGTGATTTTACCGATTCTACTTTCATTCTGTCGAAACAAATGCGAATTATAATTATGTTAAAAATAATACTAAGTTTTGTTACAATTTTTGAAATCAATATTTTCAATGTATTTCGAGCGAAAACAATTATAAGAAAGGAATAATGAATATTGTTTTTATTTAACATCATTTTTTATTTTCAAAACATCTTTCTTTACTCGTGACCATGCGTCGACACATCAGTTAGATTAGACAGTAGTGTCCTAGTTAGTGACGCTATTGTCTGAACATTTGACAGCGGTAGAAACAAAAAAAATACCCTTCGCTTGTAAATAAAGTTCACGTTTTCATACAATACATTGTCTTATTATCTTGTGCCGACTTGTCTGTACAATGTCCATTTAACATTTTTATAACTTATATTTTACTTTTGTCTATTATATAAGAAGCTATGATATATGAATTTGTATATTCCCGGGTCAAAAGATCGGGGGTATATTGTTTTTGTGATGTCTGTGTGGGTTGTCAACTTTAACCTTGCCCATAACTATGTCACCGTATGTGGTAGGGCTTTTCATATTTGGTATGCGTGTTACTTGTAACAATACATTTCCGGTGGTATGAACATTTTCAATTATGTGACCTTGACCGTGACCTTTAACCTACATTTGAAAAAATACTGGCCTTAACTATTGCACAATGACGTAAGTGTTTCACAAAGTGTGCATGCAATAAGCACATGCCTAGTTTTAAAGTACTTCAGAATTTTGTTGCAAACGGGGACATGATTTATCATAAACACATCTTGTCTTTTTTATCGATTCGTATGTATGATGGTTTAAACAGCTTTTAAAATACTTTCCCAATAAGAAAATATTTTTATACTTGTCAAGATCACATGGTCAATGTTTTGTAGATACTTTTAAAAAATTGTAACCGATTGTGAGGAAGTTTACCAGCATGTTTAATAGAAATACAGGACCCGAGGTTAGATTACACAGATTCTTGATCTAACTTGGAGGAAAAAATGGTTTGTACCTTAAATTGAATCCGTTCAGGACCAAAGAAAGAATGTACCTTTTGTAAGTGACTGCGCGACATAGGAATGTAGAATTCGTGCCTCCGAATACGTCCGATTATTGTTAACCGTTCGCATCATTAGTATTTTTATTATTGTGTTAATAGAAATATTTGAAGGGTACATGCTTGCGTGAATTACGCGATCGATGAATAGAACGAGTCCCTTTTAATCTTGTACCGCGAAAAAGCATCAACGCGCGAACTTATTGTAACGTAGATACAATTGTTGGTTACCGCGAAAGTTTATCACCGCGAAAGTATTGTAACATTGATACAAATGTCAGTTTCTGCGAAAGTTTATCACCGCGAAAGTATTGTAACGTGGACACAAATGTCAGTTTCTGCGAAAGTTTATCACCGCGAAAGTATTGTAAAGTGGATACAAATGTCAGTTACCGCGAAAGTTTTTCACCGCGAAAGTATTGTAACATTGATACAAATGTCAGTTTCCGCGAAAGTTTATCACCGCGAAAATATTGTACCATTGATACAAATGTCAGTTTCCGCGAAAGTTTATCACCGCGAAAGTATTGTAACATGGATACAAATGTTAGTTACCGCGAAATAAAGTTAGTTTACAGTATACAATGTTAAGGAAGGTTGACAAATTGTATTTATATTCTGAACGACTCCTTTAACCCGTTCGATGAGATGACAATTGGAACTTATTTGTTAGGATCACACGCACACACGAACATAAATCAGAAATCAATCTGTACCCTAGATACCATCGTGATAGGCTGTTCCAAGTACCTCCCCCGAATGACGTTTTCATTAGAAGCGGTAAAATGTGATGATTGCCGAGTGAGTTGACTTGGCACGCCGTCACTAATGATATCGTACGGATATTTGTAAGTTTAAAGGGGAATGCCAATTATCTGATTGACAAAGACTCGGAGTGGTTGGCGCGGTAGTATTTACCAAAATTAGCAGGTAAGTAAACCAAAAGTCATCTGTTAAGCATTTCTGTTTCTTTTGTGTGGGTCTGCAGTGTTCTAAATGATCCACATATTCTTCAACTTACAGACATCAACTAAAAGCATTTATCATATTTATGGTGAAATTGTAAAGACTATTAATCATATTTATGATGAAATTGTAAAGACTATTTATCAAATTGTGATGAAATTGTAAAGACTATTTATCAAATTGTGATGAAATTGTAAAGACTATTTATCAAATTTAGGACGAAATTGTTAAGACTATTTGTCATATTTATGATGAAATTGTTAAGACTGTTTATCAAATTTACGGTGAAATTGTAAAGACTATTTATCAAATTTACGGTGAAATTGTAAAGACTATTTATCAAATTTACGGTGAAATTGTAAAGACTATTTATCAAATTTAGGACGAAATTGTTAAGAAATATTTATGATGAAATTGTTAAGACTGTTTATCATATTTACGGTGAAATTGTTAAGACTATTTATCATATTTAGGATGAAATTGTAAAGACTGTTTATCATATTTATGGTGAAATATGGTGAAATTGTAAAGACGATTTGGCATATTTATACATAATTTATTATTTTCATTATAATACACCGACTCATATATTTGAAACAGTTTTCAGTTGTCTATAATTATTCTCATTGTTGCAAAGAACAAGATAGACAAAATCTAGTTTCCTCATCGGCAAGTTACCGAGATGCTGAAATAGTTAAGAGATTTTCATGTCTTATTTAAACATGGACCAAATCAAATATCACACGCTTAAGTATTTTGAAATGACGCGTTTTGTTCAGTAAATGTTTATTTTTTAAATATTTAGATAGAGGCTAAAATATAACTACCAAAATAATAAACAATAAACCGTGTTTTAGATATGATAATACAGTAATAGTCATAATATAAAAAACAAAGGACCAAGCGAACAGAACTGGAAATAAAGGGGAAAAAGTTCCCTTGCAACGTCATATCTGTTTTTTGTGATGTCACAATGCTATTTGATTATCTCGTGCAAAAATTGTGACGTCATAAGTTAAAATCACCGGGAACCATCATAGACTAAAATATCGCACGATTGTATTATAGACGCACCTGTGGCTTAACAATAAATTATACCATGGCTGATATTACACTGATAACCGTCAGTTCAGTTATAATATGAAAAGGTAAAAAATGTGACGTCATCATGTTACGATGAGCATGCAAAACTCTTTAACACGTGTTTTATTTACAGGTTCCTTCTTAAGGATATATCACAACCACTATGAGAGCCTTTTTTCTCCTAGCTCTATTGTACAGTGCCAGCCAGTCTGTGCAGGGACGTAACGGGACGATGGATGACTGGATCAGGCTGACTAGTACATTGTTCTCAAATTACACGAAAGAAATATTTCCTGTGTACAACTTCACAGAAACACTTTTCGTCGACTCGTCCATGTTTTTGTTGTCAATTCTCGATTTCGATGAAGTATCGGGCGTTCTCACATTAAGCGCCGGTATGACGTTTGATTGGATTGATTTTCGTCTACAATGGACACCGAGCGAGTATGGAGGCATCGAATACATTCACGTGAATGCCTCGAGAGTTTGGAAACCGAAAGCCTACGTCATCACCGCCGCGGACGATTTACGTCAGTTTGGTAGTGATGAATTCGACATAACGATCTGGAATACAGGTCTCTGTACATTCAGTCCAGGGAAGCTGTTGAAATCATCGTGTTCGGTGGATATGTCGAAATTCCCAGTTGACTCTCAGATATGTAATATATTAGTACTACTTTGGGGATCGCCCGCTAATGTTAAACTCTTCTTCTCTAGAACGGATATGTACTTGACGTATTACACACCTAACGGGGAATGGAACATCGATAAAACTTCCGTATCATATTACTTAGGGTTCGGAACACCCTCCACAACACTGGATTTTACTATCTATATGACCCGGAAGTACATGTACTTTATCGTTTCAATGACAATCCCCGTGCTGTTGTTATGCTTCCTTAACCCGTTCGTGTTTCTCCTGCCGTCTTCTTCGGGGGAGAGAATATCCTACACCATCACTATGTTTCTCTCCCTGGCTGTCTACATGACACTGATAGGAGACAACCTTCCTAAGGTGTCAGAAAACATGGCTGGGATGTCCTATTTTATGCTTTTAGCGTTAATCTACAGTAGCATGCTGATCGTTCTTACGATATTCACACTTCGGTGTGAAGCTGTTGAAGATATCAAAACCTTTCCAAAATGGCTGAGGAGACTAACCCGATACTGCTATCAACTGAAATCTAATAAAATAGACAATAACGAGAGGTCGCTGAAGATTTCGGAGTTAAAAGAACAGGGTGCACCGGAAGTAGAACAGGTTGAAACCAACGTTGACTGTTTATCTGTCCAGCACAGGGACGTAATGCGAGTAATTGATAAATCCTTGTTCGTTCTTTCATTTCTGGCTATTGTGATAATGACGCTTTGGTTTTTGTGTACTCACTATACATGAAAAAAGGGGAAAGAACTGTACTAGTATTATACAACTGAGATTTTCTCAGCATAGGTATTGTCGGAAATATACTTGGGAGTGAAGACATCACCAAATAAGATCATTCACATTCGTGTTAGGCTTTGCTAAGTTTTGATTGTCCTATCAGTATTTTGGTGTAGACATATATCTACTTTAATGCATTCAAACCGTTCACATAGCTTTTTGAAGCGTAAATTTGGAGGGGGGGGGGGTGAGAAAAAAATATTTGCTCCGTCCTTCCTCTGGGGCCTGTCGGAATAAATCTCGGGGGTGATTCAGGAAACGAAATTGACCGAAACAAATGTCAAAGTATAAATTGTGAGCTGTATTGTATACCACAACTAAAACAAGTAGATGTGTTCGAAATTGGATTATTCATGCATTATAGAACAGCCATGTTTGACGTTACCATGACTACCATTTCAAAGCGAGGCATTATTCGTCTGTCCATGTGATTACTGTCACAAACCAATATATTCTTGATTGTGACACATGATACCATGATGGATTTAAATGTTGGGATAATTATACAGTCAACATTTTGATAAAATTGACTTAGCTATTCTATAAAGATTCCTATGGGAGTTTGTATGGAGGCCATAGTGTTATGAAATAATGAAGAGACCACGTTGTATTTGGTAAAAACTGGACTCGGAACCTGATATATTGATATCTTAACTAAAGACTAGACAAGCAAACATAGACTCGTCAATTAGGCTTGATAAATATTTGGATAAGGCCACTTCACTGAATAATCTATATTTGAACTTTTCATAATGGGCTGAAATTTGTTGGAACATCCCATCCCAGGCTGCTTGTTAAGTAGTTTTATTACAAATTTTAATTAAAGCTAATGGTGTTGATATAGAGATGAAAAGAAGCGGTTTCTAAAACTACAAAAATCGTGTACATTATCTGCAAGGTTTAGATACACTGTCTAGATATGTATAAGGTTTGGAGACACTCTAGATATGTATAAGGTTAAGATACACTGTCTAGATATGTATAAGGTTTAGGTACACTGTCTAGATATGTATAAGGTTTGGATACACTGTCTAGATATGTATAAGGTTTGGATACACTGTCTAGATATGTATAAGGTTTAGATACACTGTCTAGATATCTGTAAGGTTTAGATACACTGTCTAGATATGTGTAAGGTTTAGAGACACTGTCTAGATATGTATAAGGTTTAGATACACTGTCTAGATATCTGTAAGGTTTAGAGACACTGTCTAGATATGTGTAAGGTTTGGAGACACTGTCTAGATATGTATAAGGTTTAGATACACTGTCTAGATATGTATAAGGTTTAGAGACACTGTCTAGATATGTATAAGGTTTAGATACACTGTCTAGATATGTATAAGGTTTAGAGACACTGTCTAGATATGTATAAGGTTTAGATACACTGTCTAAATATCTGTAAGGTTTAGAGACACTGTCTAGATATGTGTAAGGTTTAGAGACACTGTCTAGATATGTATAAGTTTTGGGTACACTGTCTAGAAATCTGTAAGGTTTAGATACACAGTCTAGATATGTATAAGGTTTAGATACACTGTCTAGATATGTGTAAGGTTTAGAGACACTGTATAGATATGTATAAGGATTAGAGACACTGTCTAGATATCTGTAAGGTTTAGATACACTGTCTAGATATCTGTAAGGTTTAGATACACTGTCTAGATATCTGTAAGGTTTAGAGACACTGTCTAGATATGTATAAGGTTTAGATACACTGTCTAGATATGTATAAGGTTTAGAGACACTGTCTAGATATGTATAAGGTTTAGATACACTGTCTAGATATCTGTAAGGTTTAGATACACTGTCTAGATATGTGTAAGGTTTAGAGACACTGTCTAGATATGTATAAGGTTTGATACACTGTCTAGATATGTGTAAGGTTTAGATACACTGTCTAGATATATATAAGGTTGATACACTAAGGTTTAGAGACACTGTCTAGATATGTGTAAGGTTTAGATACACTGTCTAGATATGTATAAGGTTTAGATACACTGTCTAGATATGTATAAGGTTTAGAGACACTGTCTAGATATGTATAAGGTTTAGAGACACTGTCTAGATATGTATAAGGTTTAGATACACTGTCTAGATATGTGTAAGGTTTAGAGACACTGTATAGATATGTATAAGGATTACAGACACTGTCTAGATATCTGTAAGGTTTAGATACACTGTCTAGATATCTGTAAGGTTTAGAGACACTGTCTAGATATGTATAAGGTTTGGATACACTGTCTAGAAATCTGTAAGGTTTAGATACACTGTCTAGATATGTATAAGGTTTAGATACACTGTCTAGATATGTGTAAGGTTTAGAGACACTGTCTAGATATGTATAAGGTTTAGATACACTGTCTAAATATCTGTAAGGTTTAGAGACACTGTCTAGATATGTGTAAGGTTTAGAGACACTGTCTAGATATGTATAAGGTTTGGATACACTGTCTAGATATGTGTAAGGTTTAGATACACAGTCTAGATATATATAAGGTTTAGATACATTGTCTAGATATGTGTAAGGTTTAGAGACACTGTCTAGATATGTATAAGGATTAGAGACACTGTCTAGATATCTGTAAGGTTTAGATACACTGTCTAGATATCTGTAAGGTTTAGATACACTGTCTAGATATCTGTAAGGTTTGGATACACTGTCTAGATATGTATAAGGTTTGGAGACACTGTCTAGATATGTATAAGGTTTAGATACACTGTCTAGATATGTGTAAGGTTTAGATACACTGTCTAGATATGTGTAAGGTTTAGAGACACTGTCTAGATATGTATAAGGTTTAGATACACTGTCTAGATATGTCTGTAAAGGTTTAGAGACACTGTCTACACTGTCTAGATATGTATAAGGTTTAGATACACTGTCTAAATATCTGTAAGGTTTAGATACACTGTCTAGAGGATCTAGTTCGTTTGATTATGTACTGACATGTGATAACCTATTTCAGATCATTCTCCAATATATATTACTTTATATTTAAAAGTGAAAAATAAATTTCATTCAAGGAATCGATAGTAACAAGGAACAGACATACACAAAAGTAAAATGGAATGATCCTGGGAGTTCTAAGGTTATTAGAAGAAAATAATGGTAATTTATTAAATGTCTGTTCTGTTTTAGAGAAAAATCAAGGTGGTTTAGATACGAGTGTGATGAGGTTTACAAATATAATGAATGAATTATCAATGCTTTTGAATATCGTAACTACCAATTTAAGAATATTTTTTAGACAAAGGTTATAGTTATGATAATCCATGGTTTAATGATGTTTGTTAAATCAAACACGTTGAACATAAAAACGCATTATTTGTTTTAAATACTGTAAAGTCTTATGCGAATAGGGATGTCCTTGTACATACTATAAAAACCAGAATTGAAGTTAAAGCGAGAATGTAAAATCCTAACGAGGCAATATGTTGAATTATATGGGAAAACGTTATCCGAATGTTTTCTACGGTAAGTTTAGAAAAAAAAAAGAAATTTTAATGGACTATGTTTTTTTTTTTCCTTTATTTTAATGATTTCTCCTCAACAGAATCAGAAGGGAATAAAAAATGGCAACTGATTTAAAAAAAGATGTTTGTGTATCCAAATTTATTTTCTGATAGTAAGATTAAGTATATCTGGTGGGGAAGAAGGGGGAGGGGCGGGAGAGGTGGTGGGGGGGGGGAGGGGGGAGGGGCCTATCGGATTAAATCTCGGAGTTGATTAAAATCATCCATAAATTAAATAAATCGAAAGGGTGTGGCCAGGATATGCTGATAAATGACACGCTTGTACACTGTCTTGTAGTGTTGTTTCATAATGTTTATAATTCCAGCCATGTTCCTACGTCACAGTCTGATGGAGATATAGTTCCAGATTTTTAAGAGAGGTGATAGAAATTACATTATTATATGTGTATTGATGTTAGTTTACATCTGTGTATGTCATTCTGAACTGATGAGCTGTAAGACTGTACTTTGATGATAATATAGATCTGTTTCAATTTTGATACATATATGTATATTTCAATATACTTACGGAAAGTTGTTAGTGAAAGCACCACTATAATCAAACCCGTCTTCATTTTGGCAATGTGGTATTTCTGAAATAATCAAAAGTTTAGTCAATCGTTTTGAATTTTTATTTTAAATCTAATTCTCTTTCGTCATTCATCATGTTCACCTAGCTAAATTTCTCGCTTGTCATCACCAGATAATTAGTGAATCAAAAAGCAGCACACAACACATACAACATTTGAATTTTCAACCAATCAAAATTTCCCTTTTTTACGATTATTTTCACAATCTGTGGTTTCACAATTACCGGAAATTGTTTTCGTCTAAAATATCTCCTGACGTTATTAAAAAAAAAATGAATTTTTGAATTCTCTTTGGATTAATTCCTTGAAATTTAAATGGAAAATTTTTCCTGTGAATTTGACCTCACGAATTTACAGATTTTAAGAAAGAAAATGTGTTTTAGTCTATGTGAAAACTAGTTACTCACCTATGATCGGAGTCGGCAGCCGTTTAAGCTGTAGTCCGGCAAAAATAATTGTCGCAGTTTACAAAACCCTGACTTTTATACTCTGTCATGTATCACGTGCAAACATGTCAGTAAATTTATTTTCATAATTTGTTCTAAACGATTTGCAAGTTTATTATTTTTTCAAATGTAAACAAATAATTTATGTGGAGCGGAAACCATGTGTCATGTTTTTATCGTTTAGTTTGAAATGCATTTGTCAAACTAACATCATATGACATAGACTGGTTTACAGGTAATGTTTGGATGTTTTGCTTGGTGTAAACAAATACGGCAGTACAGACCACCAGGAATGTTTCAAATTTGTTTACCAAGACTGGACGAATTTTCCCCAGCATTTGATAAGACATTTTGAGACAGAACGTTTTCCTTTACAATATCAAGTTTACTATTTTAATTTGAA